TGCTGATAGTGATACTGATAGTAAAGTAACGATGCATTCAACAAAAAATAAGAAGAGTTGTGCTTCAGAGTCGGCATTATCGCGTGATACCATTCGGTGCCTTGCAATGTTATTGGAATGTGAACCTGCTTGTATTGAAACTCGCTGCGTTACTTTGAAGCTAAGTCTGACACCCGATGCCATCGAGAAAAGGGTTAAATCCTGTATAAAAGAGGAAATATCCCGGGACGTTATTATAGACAATCTTTGGCTGTTGCAGTATTCTCGTCTTACTCTTTACAGTAAATGTGTGCAACTTAGGAAACTTGCAAAGATAAATGCAACTACAGTGGCACTACTTAGACTTTCTACCAAGCGGCTAAAACTGTTTCTTAAAAACCATACAACATCAGGCAAGGGCATCTCAAACATTGGGATGAAGCTTGGCGAACTAGCATCACTGCTCGACTGCTCTACACATGATGTCACGTCTGTGATTGAGAAACACCCGCATTTATTGCTGCACTTTCATAAAGTGAAAGAACTCATCACCCTGTTGAAGCAAAATGGGAAAACGGAGGATGAGATCAGACGAAATGTGTCGGTGCTGTTGTATTCACCAGAACATATTAAGGATCGTCTTGAGAGAGTGCAACAAGCTGGTTATGCAGATGCTCCCATATGGCTTTTACGAAGGGCAGAGACAGAGTTTGAGCTGCGCTTGGCTCGTAAACTCATGGATGAGAGGACTGAGAAACAAGTTCTTGGAAACAACTGTGATGTCGTTGACTATCTTGCCAACAGATTAGAATGCACTCGCAGTGAGGTAGAACTGATTGCACTTAGGCGGGGCAGTTTGCTAACTATTAATATCATGAAACTGAAGAGGGTGCTTGATTTTCTTTTTGAGATTGGTTTTACACCTAGACAGGTTCGTCAAACTCCACGCGTTCTGTGTCACAGTGAAAAAACGATCAGGGATCGATATCAAAAGCTGAGAGAGTTGAATATTCCAGTCAATACATTACAGTATTTCTATTCTACTAACAAAGGTTATGTAAAACTTATTAACAGATTTTCACCAAAAACTGTTTAAAATGGTAATCTATAAATTGTACTTGTTTTCTATCATACTAAGAAGTGACAGTGTCTCAGTAGGCATTATTTGATAATAATGCTGCTTTTCAATGAGGGAGCATGGTCTCATTAAATACTTGATTATAACGAAGTTTGGTTGACATAGCAATTACGGGTGCAGAGTCAAGGTTAGTTCTGCCATTATTACAGCTGCCAGTTGCTTACATTATTACCGATGCTGCCGTTAAAACTATCTTTTGTAAAATCCAATTTTTATATAGCCTGTAACCCTCTGCAAAGTGCACCATTTTTGTGAAGTTATTGCCAAGTTGTATAAAATTGTAATTTTTAGATGAAAATTGTACATGCTGTTTAGGAAACAATTCTTGTAGTTTTTTCTGTTGCCTTGCCTGCATACACTTGATTTCATCATGCCATATTTACCGTCAAACAGTTTCATAGCAACTAGATATAGCTCCAAAATCTGCTAATAAATTTTACAATGTAGAATAGGAAGATGACCCTGGAATTCAGTTAGATTTTATTAATTCATATCAATTATTAATATGAAGGGTATTTTAAAAGATAATAACCCCTGCTGTGAAGTGCCATACAGGTTAAACCAGTAAATCTGTAAGCCAGTGGTTCAGCAGCTGTAATGGGTCAGAACACCAATTCGAACCAGATTTTATCTACAAATCTACTTACTTTTTAGCTCATCTGACGTAGTCGGGTGCAACTTGTATAATCGCATTATTGTCCGTCCGTCCATCAACAGTTGGGCACAAATCTTAACCGCTCGACGTACGGTCACGATATTTGGGACGTGGGGGGGTAGTCCGAAAACGAGTTGGGATGTTGAAGCTGGGGGTCAAAGGTCATAGGTCAATAGGTGTAAAAGACGGGGGAACATTCCCTTCTTAACTTAAAGGGACAGTAGCCTCTAGGATTTTACTGCATACAACTGTACTTACTGTATAACAAATCGCCTATACCCACATGTATTTGTCACCAGATACCTAATTTAATTGTTATAATTAATTACACATCAACGCTACGAAATTTGAACGGCGCCATGACACCCGCGACCGTGCTGCCACCCCAAAAAAGTTGCGTATTTGACAATTTATTTTGCACGTTACAGACCGAGGGCTAATCACAAAAGTGCAATTATATTTATACCTAAATGCTATTTAACCAAACGATATTCATTTTAGGGCAAATTTATCCATATTATAACTGAAACTATATGTCGTTTATAAGATATTACAATCCTTTTGCTTTTAAATGAATAAATAAGAAACACCCTCGGTCTGTAGCCCTTGGCTGGAAAGTGGTTTTGCGCAACTTTATCAGATCGTGCGCTTTGAGTTTGAGTGGCGCCACCGTCGTTGTAATCAAACTGTAGTCGTTAGTTTTAAAACATTTTTAAAAAAATATTTCTAATGGTGATTAAACCATGAAATTTTTCATGTAGCGTGATTATAACCTAAATTAGCTGAAAACAACCCTAGAACCTAGAGTAAACTCTCCCTTTAAGGTATAGGGAGGAAATGCAGAATTGCGGCACAAATCTAAACGGCTCGACTAGCCTCGTGATAGTCGGTATAGCATCATGGTAGGAAAAGCCATCACTGTGCCAAAATTGGAGGTCACAGGTCAATGGGGCACAGGGCAGATTTTAGACATTTTCTGAGGACATGGTCTGACGGAGCGATTGGAAAAAAATTTTGTTTTAAGCGGTGACCTACCACTTTTATGGCTTTATTGAAAGGACCATGAAATGTACTTTCCGCTGACATGCGAAGACTAAGTGTCGGATAACCTTTTGACCCTCAAGAGGAGGGTTAAACATTGATTTGTTGACCGTTAACAAAGGACTGAACTGCTTTTGCTATTATTAGAGCCCATACCTGTGTGAATGTCAGGCTACAGTTGCACAGTTTAATTGCAAAGGCAAATGTTTGTTGAACAAGGTTTACGCTCCTTAAAGCATATTATTTTCGAAAGCAGTCTGTCTATAGCACCCTGAATGCTGAATCAGTGAATGCTCGTGTGGGTAGGCAAAAACACGGGGCAGGCCATGGCTGGCACGCTTCTAATCATAATTGTTGCCTGCCAACCTGCAATGCACGTGTGTCTGCAATGCATAGATATTAGGTGGGTGTGAAAGTGTAGCTGATATATTTGTTCCAATTGGCTACGAAAGTCAAACAAGAATAAAGACGACTTATGTACAAGACGTCTTGCTATGCACAAATGAATTTATCAGCAGAACACCAGACACCACATGAGCCCTGTCGCACTGCAGCACTTGTTGTCGTTGTACTATAAAGGTGCGCAATTGAGTTTGGCACTGTCCTAGGTTATGTGTACATTAGTTATTAGCTCATCTGACATAGTCAGATGCAGCTTGTAGAATCGCATGATTGTCCGTCCGTCCGTCCGTCTGTCTGTCAACAGTTGGGCACAAATCTTAACCGCTCGACGTACGGTCACGATATTCGGCACATTGGGGGGGGGGGATCGTCAAAACGAGGTTGGGATGTCGAAGCTGGGGGGTCAAAGGTCAAAGGTCAAGAGGTGTAAAAGAAGGGGGAACATTCACTCCTTAACTTTTAGGAGAAAAAGTGGGAAGGGGAAATTTGTATTAGGAGAATGCAGAATCTGCGGCACAAATCTAAATGGCTCGACTAGCTCGTGATAGTTGGTGTATAGCATCATGACTAGGAATAAGCCATACTGTGCCGCAAAATTGGAGGTCACAGCGTCAAAGGTCAATGGGCCACAGGGCAGATTTTAGACATGTTTCTTGAGGACATTGCCCGTCTGACGAGCAATTGCCGAAAACTTTTTGTTTCAGCGCGTGACTAGCATTTTTATGGCCATTATGAAAGGACCATGAAATCTTTCTGTGACATGCGAAGAGTAAGTGTCAGATTAACTTTTGACCCTCAAAGAGAGAGGTGTAAACAATGGATTTGTTGACTGATCTGTAGAAAGAATTTGATGCCAGTTTGCTAGTAGAATCTATACCATGCCTGGATGTATGAGAGCTACAATGTCACAGTGAAATTTCAAAAGTCTAAATTTGCGTTGAAGAAGCGTTTATGCTCCTTAAATCGTATAATTTCTATGGAATTCTGTACTGTCAGTAGTTACATGTTACCGCTTATGCCACTGCCAGTGGCTACTGCCAGTGCATGTGTTCGGTGGTACTGTGTAGTTTCTTCGCCGCGTTAATTGCGTAAGGCTGCCCAGCTCTCTATTGCCAGCCTGTAGGCTGCGTAGGTAAATGCGAATGAGTGCCTTACCTATTCTGTTTGCAAATAGTGTTAGCTAATAGTCATGCATGGTAGTTCCATTATTAATCTGAAGAATTAACAAGTACGCGCCATCTCGTGGCAACTATTTATAACGATCCCAAAATCAACATTCCTTAGAGGTGTTCCTGATACCATCCCTGTGCATTCCACTGTTTCGGCGTGTATGTGAACACATTTGGGACTCACAGGGTTTACTAGAATCCCACCACTCTACCACAGAGTCACCGCAGTAGTTGTTAGATGAGCGCTGTCGCTCCGCGGCACTTGTATTGATGTTCGTAATGTAGTAGGTGTACTATTTGCCCCTTTAACCTAGGCTTCCAATCGTTCATTTGATCTTGGTCGCAAGCCTTCTCGATTAGTAAGGTCGATCTGTAGTCGATTTAAATACTGTAATTTAATTAAAAATTGAGCTAAGGATTAGTCATTCTGCTATGCATAATTAGTAAACAGCAACAAGTGGTAGCTTTTGACACTGACCAAAACTCGACTCTCACGATTGTCATACGAGGAGTGAATGAAGGAGGTGATATGAGGAGTATCATCATACTGAACTGTTACCGGCCAAGAACAAGGCTTGTTCGAGTAAAACCACAAAAACATTTTAACAATAACAAATTTGTACAAACGTATCTCGTTCACTTCACTTGATTTATTAAACCATGTCCGCCATAACCATTTTCAGTACAGTTACTTGGCTGCTGCTGCTGTTCTATGTTTCCATGCTGCTAATGGACCATGATCACTGAAATATTTCGCAACAACACCATCCGAAGCAACACGACCGTCATCCCGCATCTGCTTGTAGTCTTCAGCATCCCATTTGGTGAAGCCCCACTTCTTTGAAAGATAGATCTGTAAAAATTACAATCATAACGACATGTTAATGCATCAAGAGCCATCTCACAATATCTATAGTATATATAATAAATAGCACTCCCGAATGAGAATGCACCAATGAGCGTCTTGTTAGTTGATAACTGACGATTAATCGCTACTCGTGTACTGATCACTTCCACATCCTTAGTTCACAGCTTCAAAGACACGAGTATTGTTGTCGCAGCAGCCGTTGTTTAACGTGAGAGCAAGCGTTACCAAAGCTTGTGTATGGCCAGTGCTGCCATTGTTAACATCACTGTGCAGCTAGCCCAATCATACTTTGCAAATCGGGTTACATGCATTCTAATTAATTAATAATGTACCAGCACAACTTTGTAAATAGGTTTGACTGATTACAATGATGCACACTTAATTAATGGCAACGATTTGATCAAATGATAAATGTTCGCTGTGCTTTAAACAATTAGAAAAGACGACAACTTGTTGCCCACTCCACCTCAACCCTGATTGCACTTCTCGGTGTGCCTTATTGACAGATTATATACCTTCTGGTATTAATGCTACTCTGGAACTTACTTTCTGGCAGCCTGGATACTTGAATTTAGCTCTTCTCAGAGCTTCTATGACCTGAGCCTTGTGTTGCTCCTTCACACGCACAGACATAATTGGCTGCCCAATGTTGACACGTGCAACCAAACCTAGTGGCTTGCCAAAAGCGCCGCGCATTCCAGTCTGGAGCCTGAATAGGAACAAATGTGCCCGACTTTATCTTCAATATTGATTTCTTCTCGGGTTCTTAGTAGCTCCATCTCTAAAATCACGTTGTGTATTTGAAGGTAACGGGCCTGTGCAATCTAGTAATTCAGATTCAGGACGTTTACCCCTCACGTTTACTATTCCTGTGATTATCATTGTGGCTTAGCACTGGCACAAGTCAAACCACACAAATGTCTTACACAGGAAATTGCAACACATGCCTTACTTACAAATCACATTAAATATCACAGCATATTTACCACAAAAATACTATTATTAAACAGATGAGTGCCTTCTCCAAAGCATATCTCATGCAGTCATATTAGGCTAACCTTGAAAATTCAGTGTTGGAATTACATGCCAATTTTCTCTCAACCAAACCTGCATGAATAAAGTCATGGGAATATGTTATAAGGCCTTAAAGTTTAAAAAAAATACATTTGTAATTATATTAGTTTTTTTAATTACCTATCAGCTCCAGCACATGATAACATTTTGTTAATGCGCACAACATGAAATGGGTGAACCCTCATACGAATATGGAAGCAATCCTTGCCACAAAACTTCACCTTAAAGACAAAAAGAAATGACATTCTTTAAGAAAATACAGTATACATAACAATACAAATGACATATAACACTGTAATGTGTACCACCACCACTCATAATTATTATCTCAAATATATCGACAAATAAAATAATGTAGAAAATTAGGTCCAACTTATCAGCAAATATATTACAGATTACTCCAGTATAAAAATTAATATGGATCTGTGCTGTTACGGTATATAAAATGCCAAATAATGCAGCCACATTCTTTTGTATTGCGACAATCCTCTTGAAATTGGTAACCACCAAACAAGCGTGCATCCCGCTGAGTGATGTAGTGGTTCTAGACATGCACTGTGTCTCTATTACTTAATGCAAGTTACCATTAACAAAGTGCAGGGGCAGGGTCTCGCAAGAAACATGTGGAATCATCACGTAACCACATCAAGCAACAAGGTAATTTTAATCGCTGCATATTTTGGTGAACGTAATAAGGTAGAAGTGTTCTGAGACATGATAGCCTTACTGCAGACACTTGTTATTATGCAAGCAATACCAGTAACTATTGTAATAGTAAAAAAATATAAACTGGTAAAAAATTTGAAATCATCACTTTAAAATGACTATTGCGAGATTTCTGCTCAGAAAAACTAAATAGAGCTGAATATAGTCTCACCTGACAGCAAAAATATCACTGATTACACCAACATTAAAAATACTAAGATTTTATGCAGTTATAGCATAGAAAATTGGATATGAACACATCGTAACAGCAATGCATTTTATCGTGTCGCGACAATGCCTAATGGCAGAATTGGTAAACTTGTATTGGTGTCGGTGATTAATTGAAAACAAGTGCATGATTTGAGAGAGCCATGCTTTGTCTAGGGCAGATAAGCGGTGGCGCCACAAGCTAATCCACACTTCTGCCAAGTTCAAGATAACAGAAAACGAATGTTTACGAAACTAGTTCGAAACCAGTAGTTCGAAACTGGCAGTTATTGGTGAATACGAAGGTTCTAAGACATTTTATTGTTACTCTAGACAATTGCTGTTACTCAAGCAATAACGGTAGATGTCATGAAAGTCGTGAAAATACTGGAAAATTCTCGCAATAATCGCTTTCAATTAAGTAATATTTAAACATTACTGAAATCAATATCACAATTCTAAACAAATTTAGCCTGTAAATATTCTATAACATGCATCATCAAAGAACCATTACTTTAGCAATTAGAATTTCCATTGTGTTACTTACCAAGTATTTGTTAGCGCAAATTCGGCCTGCCTCTAGTGCTTCAGCTGACAGCTGTTCATACTCATTGGACACCAAGTGAATACACATTGGGAAATCATTCACATCAGCCTTCTTGCGTCCCAAATCAAAGATACGGATCTTTGAGTCTGAAATACGTATAGGACATGAGAATTTTGTGGTATCAGACATGCCCTGCTAATGGCCAAAACTGCTATCAAAGTAGCAATAACATTTTCTGTAAATAGAATGTTTCCGAAAAGCTTCATGCAGCCAAGCAAACCGCACACAAGTACGGAAGCTTAAAAATGGATGTTTTATGTATGCCTCATTTGACAGTGAAACAATCAAGGATGGAAAAGTTCGCTAACACTGAGGCAGTAAACTAGACGCAGAAATGAAGATTATTAATTACAGAATAAATGTTGTTGCTGTTCTAGTTTTCAAAAAACACATGGAAAATATAGTTTTAACACACTTCATTCATCTTCACAACTATAACTGCCTGTAATCTTAACAGTTTGCTATGTACTTACCTGGAACACCTCTGCAGAACCTGGACTTTGGGTACGGTTTATTTTTGCAGTACCGGTAACTGAAAAAGGAAATTGTGCCAACATTATTACTAAATGGAATAAGATCTCCTTCCTATCTAAAACGTTTTGTTTACACAATTGCAGCTAAACTGCTGTTTGAAGGTAACGGGCCTGTGTAATCTAGTAATTCAGATTCAGGACGTTTACCCCTCACGTTTGCTATTCCTGTGATTATCATTGTGGCTTGTCACTGTCACACGTCAAGCCACACAAATGTCTTACACAGGAACGTTCAAATGATTGCCATAGAACTGGACAACAGTCGATTCACTAAGACTAAGAGTAAGAGTCGTTTATAACTCAATTTCGCATTGCTTACCACCAAGTGCAATCTCTTACGAATCTACGTTACACAATACCCCGTACTCATGCTATACATACATGATACCACACTTTGTGGACGTAGTTTGGCCCATTTTGCGGACCACTTTATTTTACGAATACAAAATTTTTGGACATTTGAGGTTGGTCGCCGGGCAGACATTACTCCCAACCTCGACTCCGTTTCTGACTAACCCTAACCCTAACCCTAACGATAATCCTAACCCTAACCCTAAATTAACACTAATACATTTAATTTAAAAAAAACATCACCTCTCGCAGGTTAACGCGAGGCGATTTCATATGGCCAGTGCAGGGAGTAATGTCTCCCTTGTGCAAAAATCGGACATTTGGGTACCGGCAAGTTTATTGCCCCATTGGTTATTCACTTATTGCAACACTATTCCGTATTCGTGCCCTCCACACGATATGACGCGTAAACATTGCTCCAAACATACGTGAGTTTTGATACGGTTACGGGTTAGCATACACAAATTGACTAATACCAAGTTTGCAGTAAGACAACAATATTACTCGCGAATTCCGGCTAGGATTCTACATATCAAACTGTATGGTACTTACCACCTAGCTGGTCGACGACCCATCTTGAGTCCGTAGACGGAGACCTACAAGCGTGGATAGAAAGACCGTGAATGAGTAGGAATAGATGTTAACAAATTTTATATTCAATTTACTACAAAACTGACCAGAATTGCGAAACATTACTCGGATCCTATTGGATTATTTTCGACAAGTCATGGTGAAACGCAAATACCTATATGGACGCCACCTTTAGAAGAGAAATACCCGGATGTTTCCAAAAATCTCGCAATCTCACGCTGGGGCTCAGGGTTAGGGGGAGGTGACTATAACCACAAGAACGTCGCTAATCATGAGAAGTTGAGAGATTGATGTTTTATATTCTACATCCTATGACAGATTTTTGTTCTAGAGTTATCCCATACGTTTATTGTAAGGCTATAACGTTGCTGGGTCAATTCCCAATGACAGGTGGATGCTTGCTCTGGCACAGAAAACCATAGCAGGTGAGAAAATAATTTATTAGTAGCAAGCAGAAATGTCAAATGACATGTGGTGCTCACATAACCCGACCAGGCTGTGTGACTAACGTCAATATACACATTGAAACGGTCTCCTAACCCTAAAAGACCGTTTCTTGGAGCTAGTGCTCACACAGTCACACAGTCTCATTCGCACATTTATATTGAACATAACTAGTCAGTAGTCCGGTAGTCCGTCGTTAGCTCAAGAACGGAGGTCCAGACACCACCCATTCGCTCCGTCACAGGGCTATAGCACAAACTAATTAAACTACGGGGTATGTTGAAAATCACAGGCACTTGAAGCGTTTCAATAAAATATAATGCTAAATAAATACGAAATCTATTTACTACCAAAGTCTTAATGACATAATGTTTCTAATATCTATACTCTCTATCACCTAGCTATTATTGCCGACAAATTTCCTGTAAATGCCATCCAAATGCTCATCTAGTGATCTACAACAAACACTGGCTGCTGCCAAGCGCCATTGCTGACGCTGCAGTGCTGCACACTGACACTTATATATATAATATTACCCCCCCCCCCCCCAACACACACACACACACACCGCCACGGCCTGTTGCAAAAGCATTTCGGCCTGTTACTATAAAAGATAATGAAAACCCTGATACTCCGGTCAATATTGGTTTTTATCTTGTAGTAAGATATCAACCCATAGCTTCTAGCCCCAATTTATCCATATCAGTTCATATGTTATATGCTAAATCATTCCTGATGAAAATACACACCCCACCACCTGATCTATCTCTATCCCGCCTTTCTACACTGTAATTTTCAATTTTAATTTCAGAGTCATCAACTGAATCATCTAGCCAGGACTCGGATACCGCAATCACTGCAATCCTAGCTTGCATAGCAATATATCTAAATTCTTCTATTTTAGGAAGGATACTGCGAGCATTTAAATGAATGAAATGTAGACCTTTTGATACATCCTTTATATGTTGTACCTTCTTTATATTAATAAATTAATAAATAGATATGACCCACCGATTTTAACACTTTACCACAATGTTGATCAAAAACTTGGACAGTTTTATACTTAGCTAGTACAAGACATCATCTCTGCACACGTCTACCACTGACAGTGACACATGTTGCGCGCACCTGCTACATCAAAACGCGGAATTCTGCCATCGTATTTTCGTTTGTCACTGAGCGTATGTGGGTTAGTGTGTTACTGCATGCAAATAACCTAGTTAATAAACTACATCACCTTCATTTGTATACCATTTTTAAGTAGAATTATTAGGCAATATAGTAAATAAACGTTAAAACTTTGGTAGTGAATATTTGTACTATTCACTATCACTTTATTAGCTCATCTGACATAGTCAGATGCAGCTTGTAGAATCGCATGAGCGTGCGTCCGTCCGGCCGTGCGTCCGCGCGTCAAGAGTTGGGCACAAATCTAAACGGCTCGACGTACGGATTCGAAAGTCGGGACGGGGGGGGGTAATCCGAAAACGAGTTGGGATGTCGAAGCTGGGGGTCAAAGGTCAAAGGTCAAGAGGTGTAAAAGAAGGGGGAACATTCCCTCCTTGAACTTAAGGTATAGGGAGGAAATGCAGAATTGCGGCACAAATCTAAAGCGGCTTGACCTAGGCTCGTGATAAGTCGGTGTATAGCATCATGGTAGGAAAAGCCATCATCTGTGCCGGAATGTGGAGGTCACTAGGTCCAAAGGTCATGTGGGCTACGGGCAGATTATTTAGACATTGTTCTGAGGACATGGTCTGGACGAGGCGTGTTGAAAAAACTTTTTTG